TCATGTAAATAGCATAAGCTGACCAAAGTCCTGTTTCTCTCGGAAGGGTGATCTTTCTTCAAAATTTTAGCCGTACTTCTGTGTAACGGAACTCATGTAAAAGTTATGACATGTGCAACTGGCGGCTTTGGCTAAAATCACCTAACATATCGGAAGCTCGGAAAGGAAAAATGATAGATCACACGGAGACTTAAATGTAGGTTTTGGATCTAACGATTTTAATATTTGTTGGTGTTGAATTTTAAGACATCGTGAATAGGGTTTAACAAAGAATGCATTGAAATCCGTGGTATGGTAATCATTTCAACTCATTTGAACCTGATCCCTTTGCAACCATCGTCAGGTGATCATACGTTCTGTATGATGAAGATTTTTTCCGTATAATCAGTCATCTTTTTGTTAATCATGGAACAATTAGTCACTTACTAAAATCTCTCTTAACTTAAGCTCTACTTGTGGGATAAAGCTAACTGATAATGTAAATGTATACATGTACATGTATAAATCGGCCCATACATCTGAAGGCTGCATGTATACTACATCACTTTGCGTTAGAATTGTAATGATAACTCATTGTGAGGAGAGGAAAACTATTTTCACAGAAACTGGCCTGTTTCAAAGTGGAGAAATTGACAGATTGGAAGGAAATCGAATCAAAACCACTTTCAGATTCACAAATGTCTGCACAAAGACAAAAAGTACTAATGGAAGCTCAGCAGTGCTGAGAATCGACTACTTGGATTTCACAAGGTAGTTCTAGATTACGACATTAAAATAATTTGTTGATACAGTGATTTTATGACCCAGCAATTAACGGCATAAAGTGCTGACATTGACTGATATTCTGCAAATCTGCCATTCCGCCAAAATTTGGTTTCTGTCTATTTACTCAGCGATGACTAGAGATACATGATTTCATCCCGGAAAATGGGCATGTAGTTGCATTTTGATAAAATTTAGATTAACTTTATGTTTTGTTTCGGTATAGCTTTTTCCAAGATTTATTGCTTTGCAATTACAACAAGAGGCCTAGCGGCCTTGACGGTCACCTGTGATAAGCAATATTGGATGTAAAGGTTAAAAGATAGTTATCAAGTGTTATGAAGCAAAAATTGTTACGCTGAATATAGACAGTGTCAATACATGCATTCCATCAAAACTGTGTCATCCTATGATAATATTTTTTTACAAAGTTACATCCATTGGGAAATAACCAACGTTATGCTCAAAATTGCAATTTTTTAATGAAAATAACAGCAAAATTTAAAAAAAAAAAAAAAAAAAACCTTCCTCCCCAGGAAGAAATATAAGACCCATTTTGGTAGTTAAAGCGCTTTCCATGCTTCCATTAATACAGAACACTTGATCATTTGATTCTACTATATCTGGGTGTTGAGAAGAAGATAATTGAAATTTGGCCCATTTTGGCCCCGCACGTCAGCCCTTTTGGGGTCAGCAAGGATCGATATTGGCATTCCATCGTGCCGTCATCGTTCGCTTATAATTATTATCAAGTTTGAAATATTTCCAATGGAAATTAAATAAATTTTATTAAAAAATCTATTTTTCTATATAAACAATAGTAATCTTTACCCCCTCCCTACGGGGAAAAGTGAGAAACAGGAGTCATGACATTCACAATTCTGGTAAATCACCTAAGGAGGCTTCCATCCATGAAGTGCATTCGATTTTGTCTGGGTGTTGAGTTGATCCTTTTGGCCCCGCCCCGGAGGCGCCTGTGTGGTGGGAACTATATAATTCATAATAGCTGTTCATCCAAGGCCAGGGAAGGTGTTGCAAAATTTCATTGAATTCGCTTCAGGTGTGTTTGAGAAGTCGAAACTGTTAGATAGTTTACGGACACACGACGCCGCATGAAGGTGATTGAATAGGTCACCCTGAAACTTTGTTTACCATGTGACCTAAAACAAACCTCCATATCTTCTCAGTGATGAATGAACATATCCAACAACTGAATTTTGGACTGTTGATTACAACCAACAAACAGTGTTATTTCCTATTCAAACTTTATAGTTACGTCATCATGTAATATACCCGATTATGAATTGACGTTAGGTTAAAGGATTTCTTGTATATTAGACAGATTTCATCATATCCTTACCACTTAAAAATGTTTGCATAATGTTTCTATGAATACATTGTCAACTCTATCCTATAAATGACCCATGTGAAGCGGTGATAAAATGAAATCACAGACTTTATGACTGTTTTACAGCAAAAATGGCTTTAACACGAAGAAGCAAGCTTAAAAGCTTTCAGCTAAAGGTCACAAAAACAACCAAGTGAGGAGACAAGACTTGGATAAGAGAACTGTTGTAGCTATAGTCAATGTGCCTATAGTGTATGGACTTCAATGAACAGTGTGGGGCATGTCCTCGAGGATACCTATTGAGGTAATGTGAGACATGGAAGGTCACACTGATCAGACAGTCCAAGGCACGACGGATTATAAGATTGTCATTGTTTAGTTGTTTACATGTGTTGCTATATAAATTGTTGAACATTTTACATTAAAACGAAATACTATCAAGTATACCTAAATGAAAGATCCCAAAACAAATTATCAAGGTAAAATCATGTACGCTATTTTTTACATTGACAAAATCATGGCCTAGTATTACAGTCTGCATCCTGTCTTCTGTACTCTGTATTATATAAAACCAGGCACTGTAAATTTAAAAATAAAAATATTTTGTAAACCAAATATCTTAGTCAAATGTTGATAACGTGTCAAGGGTATGACTCAAAAGTGTGACACACAAACACTGTATAAAGATAGATTAATCTTCACCCCATTCCGGGGTACTGTTACAAATATTTTTGACAACACATATATACATACCTATGCAACCATTGGAACGTTCTTCCACACACGATACAAGTCATTAGGTTATGTGCATTGTGCATTAAACACATGGAACATTGTGCTTGTATATTTGTGCGTATGTTGCCAAATAAGGTAACTGTTCATTAAGGGTGTAAACTGTAATATTATTGAAACTTGATAAATGTCTTCTAGATTGCTTACCTTACTAGTTTTATATTAGACCATGATATAATAACTATTAGTGACGTTATATAACGTTATGGGCTAGCTTCCTTGTTACATAATGATAGTGCTAATTTTAACAATATGCTGTGTGTTGGCAATCCACTTGTATTGTAATTCCGTAAAATACGATTACCACTTGTACTGCGTTTGCGCAGTGACTGTAATCTACACTTCCGTTGCTGTTGTTGAATACACATGTGAGTTAGCACACGACTGTGTCTGTTGTCTCTGCCTTTTCTCCGGCCTACATACCTCTCCATCATATGGTGTCAGGAACAAAACTGAACTGGAAAGTGTGGCACTGCGTTCTCTGACAACCGTTCTATCTAAACTTTTGTCGACAACTGGTCCGAACGAAGCATATATGTATATGTATGAAAAGCAACAAAAATGGCGGCCCTAGAAAGGATTCCCCCCCCCCCCCCATTTAAACTCGAATTTAGATCTCTCGCTGATGACTGGGATAGATGGAAGGAGGGATTCCAACTGTTTTCCGATCTTGCTCTCAAAGGTCAGGAGCCTCTCGAATTCATTAAAATGTTTAAATACCTCATTGGCCCTGAAGATCGAGACGTTTACAAAACTCTTTTTAAGTTTAACATGAGAGTACAGGGTGATGAAACTCTGGAGAAGTACATTACTGATTTGAAAACACCGGCGATGACATGTAATTTTGGCCAACTTCAAGATTCATTAATCTGCGACCGACTTGATTGTGGTGCTAAGGATACACATTTACGAGAGCGGCTGTTAAGAACTACAGATCTAACTCTAAATAAAGCTGTTGAAATGGAAAAGTACAGTTGAGGTAACAAAACAGTGTTAGAGCGTTAGACACGGTCTCTACTACTCAAAACTTACAATACACAAGGTACAATAGAGGAAAAGGCCCCAGGTACATGTAGAGCACAAGGCTAAAGGCAATAATAGCACTATCCGTACTCGACAAGTAGTAACGAAAGAGTGTATTTATTGTGGTCGTACACGTGAACTTAAGAAAGACCAGTGCCCGGCATATTGGAAAAAGTGTATGAAATGTAAAGGTGTCATTCTTTTTTACTGTTAAATGTGACAGTTTAAAACACAGAAAGCCTACAACTCCCAGGAGAGGTTCGGGTAAGCAAACTGTACACTTGGTAGAGGATGATGACAGTACTGTTGACTATTATCAACTTCTTAGCGTACAGGAAGAAGAAACCTGCAACTCTTTGAAACCCTCAGTTGAAATTTTTGCAGCTTTGGACATCGGTGACAAGCGTGCAAATTTTCAGGTTGATAGTGGTGCGACATGTAACATTATACCTAAGGAACTGGTCCCACCGTGTGTTAATGTGCACCTTATGAACAGCATTCTCAAGGTGTTTAACAAAACTACCATTACTCCTGTTGGGAAGTGTCAACTAGACCTATACAATCCAAAGATTCAAACTATACACACAGCTGATTTTATAGTGTCAAATGACTCGTTTGTACACTTGATTGGCAATTCATTGATGCAGGACATGGATTTTGTTTCTGTACACCATCAGAACATTCTTGGTGTCACTACTGATACTAAACTGCTAATAATGTCAGACATTGATATCGTTCATCCACCGCGAAAGGTTCCCCTTGCTATCAAGGATCGTTTTCAGTCAGAACTTGACAACTTGGGTGGTCGGATGGCGCAGTGGTAACGCACTCGCCTTTCACCTAGCCGACCGGGATTCGATTCCCGGAACGGACGTGAAAAGGTAAGGGGTCACCTGCCCGACCACGTGGGTTTTCCCCGGGTGCTCCGGTTTCCTCCCACAATAAGACCCTCGCGCGCTTACATCCGGGCCAACAAGAGTGATTAGTATTAGTTGATATAACTTGTTTCGCAATTGTTGTAAAATAAATAAAGATTATATTTTGAAGGTCGCGAGAAACTGTTTATTGGCCCAATATGAACGCGGAGGTCCGAGACTACATAAGTAAGTGCAGTACTTGCCGAGCGTACGAGGACAAGCAACAGAAAGAGACTCTTATCTCCAATGAGGTCCCTGATAGGCCTTGGTTCAAAGTTGGATGTGATTTGTTCACAATACATAGGATAGACTACCTTATTACCACTAACTATTACTCAAACTTCTTTAAAGTTGATCATCTCACTGACACGAAGTCATGGACTGTGATAAATGTATTACGCGCGCAATTCGCTCGTTATGGTATCTCGGCAACTGTCATTAGCGACAACGGAATGGAGATTCGAACACCTTACCCACAGAGCAACCTGAAAGTAGAGCAATCTGTGAAGACGACTAAGGGTCTCATGCGTCTTGGGAAGGAGTTAAAGTCATATACTTATTTGGCACTCATTGGCTTACGTAATACTCAATCTATGGACAGCAGTTCAGCTCAGCATCTTATGGGTCGGCGCACTCAAATACTCTTGCCAACGAAAGCAACTATTCTGAAATCTAAGACTCAGAAATCAGTGTCACGACAACTGGACGCAATGAAGGACAAGCACATTACTTTAATCGTGGCGCGAGAGACCTGAAACCGCTTAGTTCAGGTGATGTTGTTCGTATAGAGCCTACTCAAGGTCTGGATTGGAAACAGGGAACGATCCAGAAGGGGGTGTCTCCTCGCTCGTATACAGTTGTTACGTGTTCAGGACAAGCATGATGTCGTAACCGGCGTCATCTCCGTAAGTCCACGGAAACCAAACCGGAACCGGAAATATACCTTATTGATGATGGTACTGTCTCGGCTCAGTCAATCGCGAACCGACAACTTCCTATCAGTGACATTCCCAAACCCGTAACCAGTGACAGTAAACCACCACCTGCTGTTTCGAGTTCTCCAGTTGTACGGACACCTCCATCGGATGTGAAGTCTCCTCCAAAAGCTCCGATGGTCACCAGATTTGGCAGTAGTATGATCAATCCTGTCAAGCTTGATAAGTGACTGATGAATTTTTATTTGTGTTAAACACACTGATCAATTCATGATTCCAAATAGCTTCATGAGTTCATTATGACTTTTTATAGTTTTTTTTTAAATTTTCATTGAGTGTTATTATAGATCATGCTAAGCGGTTGTTATGTACAGCAATACAGACATTTATTTTTAAATGAGCTGTTTCATAGATTTCGGAAGTTTTTCATTTGAACTGTTGAATCAATGAATATTGATAATTTAATTTGAATTAATTTCTCAATTTTACTAAAATTCTAATCAGAAAACTGAACTTTCTTTTATAGGAGAAAGGATGTAACAATATGCTGTGTATTGGCAATCCACTTGTATTGTAATTACGTAAAGTATAATTACCACTTGTACTGCGTCTGCGCAGTGACTTTAATCTACACTTCCGTTCTTGTTATTGAATACACATGTGAGTTAGCACTTGGCTGTGTCCGGCCTACCTACCTCTCCATCATTTCTTAACAGTGATGACATAGAAGTGGAATTGGTGATGGGCTAGCTTCCTTGTTACGTAGTGGAATTGGTGATGGGCTAGCTTCCTTGTTACATAGTGGAATTGGTGATGGACTAGCTTCCTTGTTACATAGTGGAATTGGTGATGGGCTATCTTCCTTGTTACATAGTGGAATTGGTGATAGACTAGCTTCCTTGTTACATAGTGGAATTGGTGATGGGCTAGCTTCCTTGTTACATAGTGGAATTGGTGATGGACTAGCTTCCTTGTTACATAGTGGAATTGGTGATGGGCTAGCTTCCTTGTTACATAGTGGAATTGGTGATGGGCTAGCTTCCTTGTTACATAGTGGAATTGGTGATGGGCTAGCTTCCTTGTTACATAGTTGAATTGGTGATAGACTAGCTTCCTTGTTACATAGTTGAATTGGTGATGGGCTAGCTTCCTTGTTACATCGTGGGATTGATGATGTCCAGTAGATAATGTCATGGTAACTCTGTTTTACTTTATACTTTTTTTTTTCCTTTGTGTTACATTGTCATTATTGTGAATACTATAAATACGGATACACCGGATCCGTATTCATAATTTGGGCTACAGGAACGAAATATGTGTGAGCAAACGGAGAGATGAAATTGTTGTTTAAGAGTATTTATGTTGAAATAGGTCACACCAGCGCAAAACCGTTTGCGCTCTAACCTATGATGGCGTGAGGGCAGGAGTACCATAGATGTACTGTCCTGCGTGGACACCCATGCAACTCCAGATGTTCTTTGTGGACAGATGGTCTGTTGACTGTCCTAATAGATGTGATGGATGTCTTATGTGGGCAAGTGGTTTCATAGATGACCCTAATGGTAACTTTTACTCTCTGTGTACGAGCAGATCACCATATTTCTGTATCGTGGAGTATTGCGACTGGAGCAGCCATCATCAATGGGAAGGATTTAGAGAACATCCGTGGACATTTCTATGTTGGACGTTGTTTAAATGACTACTGGGTGACTTAGTGGATATCAGTCCGCTATTTGCAGTGATGAGGCAATTTACATAGGTAATCGTTAATAAGATGGTAGGAGTATACTTGGTAATTGGAGTGGCGTAGTGAGTGATATGTATCTGGGATATATAAATATATTGTAATTAAGTCTTGTAGATATTGCATATTTGATGTTTATGCCATTCTAATATCAGCGATGCTCGTCGCGCTCGTCCACTTGTCATATAGTTGCAATGCTAATGGGCTGGCTACTTTGTTACATAATTGAAGTGGTGAAAGACTAGCACCCTTGTTACATAATATAAGTGGTGAAAGACTAGCACCCTTGTTACATAATTGAAGTGGTGAAAGACTAGCACCCTTGTTACATAATTGAAGTGGTGAAAGACTAGCACCCTTGTTACATATTTGAAGTGGTGAAAGACTAGCACCCTTGTTACATAATAGAAGTGGTGAAAGACTAGCATCCTTGTTACATTATAGAAGCGCTACTGGGCGCGTTGACTCTATATGAGGTACCTAGCACTATCGAGAGTTATTCGTATAATGGTATTTAATTTTGGTGACTTGGGATAAAGATTCTTTTCAAACCTGAACATGTTTGTACAAATACTCAGTATTGGATTGGCCCATGAAAAGCTTTGACATTGGATAAAGCCATCAAATACAAAACAAGTATGGGGAAAGAATGTGTAAAATAATTCGTTGAGTTGGTATTTTTAAATAAATAACATAACTTTGTTGAAAGGTTAGGCAGCTCAACCAGATATAGACATGTGACATTGTGTAAAAGCGTTAGATATATATGTATATATTCTTTGATGCAGTGACGAAATCAAGTCATGGAAGCATTTTGACTAAAAACTTTGGAAAACTTTATATCGATATAGAACATCTTTATTTTTTTTAATCAAAATCAGTCCCCAAACTTTTGTCTCAGACAATAAGTTTAAGATCGTCATTGTACACTTTACCATTGTTCTCTTTTTCAAATAAATCTGTGTTAGTTCTACCTCCATACGTTCATTCATATCAACGTTATATTGTAAAAGTCATTTGCGTTTTTCACTTTAGAATGCTACCTCTTCGACATAAACTGACCAAATGACACCAGTCTTCGGGTACACAGCCTTAAGTAGTCATTGAATAGTAGAGCTGAAAAACGACATCCCTGCTTAACTTCTTCAAAACAGGGTTCACGACTTATCAATCAGACCTCGTATCTATAGATCTGGATATTCTTTTCTCAAAGAAACAACTATTTCTACCAGTGGAATATATAGGTAAGAGCTATATATAGGATTATCACTTTTTCTGATGGCCAATGTGTCTTTCACCACCAATGCCCCAAAGCGTGTTTAATTAACATCAGGATATAGCTTCATCATCTTCAAAACAGGTAAAACATTTTGTGTAAACGATGAAAACATTACATCTGAAGACAATAGGGAACTCAAATAAATACTGGATATATGTACTATTCTTAGAAAAATATGGAAACTTTTGCCTTGTAAATAAAGTGAAAACGTTGATATACATATGTATTATTTCCTAGTACATTTTGTATCAACTGGTACAGTACACATTTTTCTGTTCTATGAAGAAATTGGATGTAACTTGTTGATTAATATTATGCTTTCGTTTTGACCAAATAAACTTTCAATGAAATCTAATAGTTTGAAACGGAACTGCCTACGAGTAGAGTTGCTTTACATTGTTCCACTTGTATCCTGATGATGACAATAGAGAGATCAAACAACTTCGGGTGGTCTTTAGATGTCTTATATCTCTTTCCCAGTATTAGCTGATCATTACAATAATAAATTCTGTACTTTCGCAATCATTGCTGTACAAAAGAAACAAAAAACAAAAACAAAAAAAAAAAAAAAAAAAGAAAAAAAGCGTACAGTATGTACATGTACTGATACCAAACAGTTACAAAAGTCCTGCAGTTATCATTTTTATCGTGGTTTTCACATCCTTGATTATATTTACTTAATATATTGCTTTTTTAAAGTTATGGTCTAGTTTGTGGTGAAAGAAACAGTAAATGATATGAACAATTCTTGCAATGCACATTTATCATTTGTTGCCGTGAAAGGAAACTACACCTTGTTCATAGGTAAAATTTTACTTAATTCTGTTACCCTTGTGTGGTAAAGTGGTGGGACGTTTGTTCGACACCGTCATCCTGGTGATCGCATTTCGTGAAGTGAATGGCTATGATCACATAATCTTTATATATTCAAGTGTCCTAATACAAAATTACTTATTCCTAACAGTCACAACTATATATATGGTTGTAGAGAATGGGTATAAGGGTGATAAATCTGACTACAGAGAGTTATTATGGAAAATCAAGGATATGTATTTTGAGCATGTAGATAATGAAATAGTGTACATCATACTATACATCTTTTGTTAACCACGTATGTTGTAAATGTATAAAAAACATCGTACTAGTAAATAGTGACATACCTAGTGGAAAAGATAATTGTGTCCTTTATTACAAAATGAAAGGTAAATCCCCTTGAGCAGAGCTAATAACATGAAATTTGTCTCTTAAGCTCTATATATGATTCTATTTGAAATTACATATTTTTATGGGCGATGTTATGCCTTGATACACTATTCAAACGTTTCCATATAAAATTGTAAGATATATAGTACTACATAAAGAGAAAGAGAGAATCTGGAAATAATACTTATCTGATTTAATTAAGTATCTGCAATTATACATTAGTATGTGTTTTATGTACAACTAGGAACCAAGGGAAGCATGCATATGAAATCTGCAAAATAGAGGTAAATTTTCAGATTCCAAATCCAAGATTTCCGCCTGTCAGCTGTTTATGCTTCATCAGTCCCAACAAAAGGTCTACCCAGCAAAAATTTAATGACAACAAACTTACATTGTCAAAAACCAAGATGGCAGCCAGATAGTCATTTTTCTTTTCTGATTAGTTGCAAAAATTAAAAGGACCACAAAAAAGAACAAAGTGAACCCTTTCAGTGCTTTTCTAGAATTCTGATTGTTAAAACCAAAGAGGACCACCTGTCAACATCTTATAAACTTACATGTTTTTTACCATTTACTTTAACTATAAAAAGAATTTAATACCAATTAAAATTAGAACTTGAATCTTTGAATAGAATATTGCATCTCAATATCAGGCATATCATTTTCTTCTATTGTAAAAGTCGTTCATAACATCTACATGTTCAGATCATACATCCAGGTTAAAGTCGTTCATAACATCTACATGTTCAGATCTTACATCTAGGTCAAAGTCGTTCATAACATCTACATGTTCAGATCATACATCCAGGTCACAATTGTTCATAATATTTACATGTTTAGATCATACATCCAAGTCACAGTCGTTCATAATATCTACATGTTCAGATCACACATCCAGGTCACAGTCGTTCATAATATCTACATGTTCAGATCATACATCCAGGTCACAGTCGTTCATAATGTCTACATGTTCAGATCATACATTCAGGTCACAACTGATAATAATATCTACATGTTCAGATCATACATCCAGGTCACAGTCCTTCATAATGTCTACATGTTCAGATCATACATCCAGGTCACAGTCATTCATAATGTCTACATGTTCAGAACATACAACCAGGTCACAGTCGTTCATAATGTCTACATGTTCAGATCATACATCTACGTCACAGTCGTTCATAATGTCTACATCTTCAAGTCATACATCCAGGTCACAGTCGTTCATAATGTCTACATGTTCAGAACATACAACCAGGTAACAGTCATTCATAATGTCTACATGTTCAGATCACACATCCAGGTCACAGTCGTTCATAATATCTACATGTTCAGAACATACAACCAGGTCACAGTCGTTCATAATGTCTACATGTTCAGATCATACATCCAGGTCACAGTCCTTCATAATGTCTACATGTTCAGATCATACATCCAGGTCACAGTCATTCATAATGTCTACATGTTCAGAACATACAACCAGGTAACAGTCATTCATAATGTCTACATGTTAAGATCATACATCCATGCCTTGAACAGATATTCTAGATATTAAAGGAACGTATTGTATTATAGTAATTGGAATGATAGCGGCGAACATCTCGTTCGCTCTTTAACAGACCTTGAACTTAAATATTATTCCATTATTGTCGAATGAATACTTGGGTACAATTTTTCTGGGACAACTTTTCCATCTCCCTTCATTCTCAAGTTCCATGAATCTTTGTTCGAGTTTTCCCTTGTATTCTTGCACGTGCGAAAGATATTCCTCCCTCATCACGATAATGACGTATCCACCTGAAAAAGACAGATAAACCGAATGACTTCTTCTGAGGAAAAAATTATCGAGGGAAATATTGAGGTTTTACTTGTGATAAAAGCCTATTTGTATGGTCAAGATTGTGATTTAAACCGAACAAACGAAGATAAGATGTATACGGAGAACGGTGAATTTCAATGGAAATAGGTGCAGTTGTTAAGGAAGATTAAACCTCTCCTGTGTCTAAATAATCGAAATGATAATTTATTTCAAAGATGACTGCAACGAAATCCCCAGATAAAGTACAGCGATAATTAATAAATTCAATAATCTAAGGCAATAATAACACTTGTTCTATGTCACTTTAAGATAAGTCGATCATGCGTTGTCTTTGAATAATAATAATACTCTACCGCACTAAAAGTAGGTACATGATTGACTACTTCCCCATCATCTCCATCAAACATATTATCTCAACTCCCATCCCCAGCTTTCTGCTAAATGCTAATCTCAGTTTCTTTAATGTGATGTCTCAATAGAAACATATCAAGTTCTAGAACTCCAATTTCCTAAACGATGGCTAGAAACACACGGGTTTCGAGATATGTTGGTTTATGGCGAATACAAAGAAATGTTATGGTTGCCAGGATGGTTTCCTTGAGGAGTATTCTATTTCCTTTCGTGATGTGAAGTTTAATGTGTTCGCCGCACCATAGTATGCCTAGTGATTTCGTTCTTATTTTCCCTGTGCTCACTTTGAGAAGTTCGCATTTCTTAAATGATCCTGAATTTTCACGTATGTCGCCGATGAAGCAGAAGACAGTTGCTAACAATTCCGCGACACCTGGTCTAATTCATCTTGATACAAACGTTAACCTTTCAAATCGTCATAACTTGCCCTCTTTTGTCACAAGATTTTTATACATGATTGTGATTTTGTGTATGCATTGTTGGTAAATCGTTATATCTTCAATGGAACTGAAAAACATAGTTACATTCTGTTGATTAGAAAGGGGGTGAATGGAAAAGTCGATCAAATTGTTTATAGGTCCATTAGAAAACTGGTAAATCAAATTCAAAATTAAATGAAGGATAGCAGCTCATGTTCATACCGGGTTTGACTATTCTGATCATCTCTGTTAGAGCAGCACACGGAATGTGGCCCTCGCCCATCCCGCCTGCAACCACGACACAGGAGTAGGTACCTATCAAAACAAACAAATGAACAGCTTGACATGACGTCATAAGAAGTGAACATTAGAGAGTATGGTCTATTATACCTAGAACTTTCAATATTCTCAACAAGTTGTCTGTTTAATCAATACTATTTTAATGTTAGGTACATTTATATTTATTGACATGCATGTAGCTTGATCAAAACATTGCTTCACGTAATAAACGAGTACAATAGGAAATACAAGATATTTAATCCTTTTCCAAATCAATTTCGTTTTAGAACTCAAACCGTTGTCAGTATGTTATTAATATCAACCGATTTAATCGGCAGATTTTGACAGGTATGGGATCCGACTCGATTATTTTTTCTGCTGGTACATCAATCGACTACGGGAGTGTTGGCTACGATACATGTGAAACAAGGGTAGAAAATAGAGGAAATTCTAATTATCTTCACAGGATCTAGTTGTTGTTATTGATGTGATTCACCTTATCGCACACAGAATAGAAAAATGCAGCTGAAACGCGATGTGACGTTTCTCTCAATAGCGTAGAGTAATCATTTTGTGTCGTGCAACCATGTCACAAATAGATCATCATCAATTTTGAAGCACAATTTCATAGGACGTTGATGATTAGCGATTAAAAGAATTTGTTACTGGCGAGGTCTTCATCAGGCAAACGTTTACATCTCGATCTCAGTCCATGGAACAGACCCATACAAGATTATAGTATTCAAACCTGTCTGGTGCATCAATCAGTTCTTGTTTATCTAAAAGACTAGTTATACACAATTCTTGCATGTAATAAGATTGTACGCAACATACAAATGCAAAAATTGCGTACAGTACAGCCAATCAATGAATTAAACTGCATCATACAGCTATTGCTAAGAGACCAAATAATAAACCTAGGAGGCGACTGAAGAAAATCGAAAGTGATCGAACAAAACGTCAAAATTTAGACGGGTAGGGGCACTACCCCTATTATACAGAAAAAATCATAAATTTCATGCAGCTTGTAATCTTAAAAGAACGTCAAGAACAATCGTATGCATTAAAATGTGGCATGAAAGTTACGGCAAACCTTAGGGACTAAAAGTTCACCAGCAATATCTATCACTTGCAGTCTCGAAGATTGTACACAAGACACCTTTGAATACAAAAGGTACGACTGGTCATGCGATTTTAACATAATTATTTTAAGTGCGTTACAATGAATGACATTCGAAGTGTTGTTAACGCTAATGAGCCAATTATTAAGTTTGTTACCCTTTCCTTGATGTCTAAAGCAAGAATGTTCTACTCATTTTCAAGTATCATATCGACTGAAATATGTTACTGTATGAGGCTGTGATTAATTACAGCACATTATCAATTATCAAAGATCATGTCTTGAAGTACCGTCGATGTAAACAGGCATGATACCTACCGTTGTCTATCGGGAGTGTTGCTTCGGACATGAACTCGCAGTATAATTTGTTATATACGTCTTTTGCCCTGGCGACATCAAGCATCTTATCAGATGGGTCGAGCCCGTCCACATTTGTGAATCCTTCCTCCTTTAACTGAGAAAAGAAGTCGGAAATATAACATTCATCTATCTTACTCTATCATGTTGATGTGGGAATGTGACCAGCCATGGTAAAACACTTGTCCCACTGGGTCAGCAGTTAATGTAATATCTTCATGAAGTAAGTGTCTGGTGCAGAACTTAACAAGAAGGTAGCCGCTGTCCCGTCTATTTGAGGCCGGGTGTGGCTAGACGTGACCGGAACCTGAAACTGTATCTCATAGGTTTGATCAACCTCTCTGTGTTTGCTGACGTCATTAGTGTAGGTTGAACTGTTTGTACAAACCTGAATAGTCATCCTGGAATGGACATGGACCTGGTAACTGTTAGTTGTTATATTCAGACTACACTGTATATCAATGTATATGGTAAACAATTATACTAAGGAGCAATCGTTGCAGGTTGTTTTATTCTACAGTAAATACATATACATGTACATAACGGTATTTGAATGGGTGGTCTGGTGACGGAAGGGGTAACGCACTCGCGTTAAGATAGCTAAAGTACCTAAAGTGTCTTAGTGGGTGACAGATCATTATAATTCCCTGTCATCTATTTATCAGCAATATTTAAAACATCTCCCGATTTATCGTATAATCTCTCAATACTTTCGGGTTCATCTCTAAATTTTGAGTTATGGTTATATATTAACGATAAATTTTCCCGAATGGAAATTCTTTATCATGACGGTTGTATGCTATGATTGTTTTTTTTCTGATACATAGATATACGAGTGCGAGTTCATTTGAAGTGCCATATCATACCGGAAGAAGTAGGAGATAACCCAAGAGCGTCGTTGACAACGACCACAACACTAATTTCAAGGGTAAATTATCAGATTATCGTCTTTATTCATTTTTCATAAATACATATATCGTGTACTACAACAAATATATGTCTTTTACGAGTTTCTTTATATTTTTAAACCATGATTAGGGATGTAAAGGTGACTGCCCATTTGCACAAATTAAAAGAAATAACAGCTTTGTCTACTCGTTTGCAAGCCCAATCAGCAAACATTGTGTAACATATCGAAAAGCATGGTCTAGAATTTATGCAACGCAAGAAGAAATATAATTCTATGAGAATAGCATAGTCTTCGAATTCCTATATGCTGCACATATTTAAGCAAGCAACTCTCATGACAGAGCTTTGCAGACAAGCATCATATTGTGTGCTGGTGTAAAATGACGCGTTTACGTGAAAATTATATCATTTTTAATGACCATAAATGCCACAGCAAAATAGTCCTAGGGGTATATATACATTTTCAACTATTTTTTCTCTTATGTCGACTTGGTTCGCAATCAACAACAACGTTCAGTCCGTCAAATGGAATAGTTATCATTATCAACAGTTCAATCCGTCAAATGGAACAGCCATTTTGACTTCGAGCCGTCGCTCTTTCTATGCCCGCTATACTGACGTCATAATGATCACGCGCTGAATGGCATTTACTGTGTCATAAATTACACCTCTTTCCGCTTAGGTTATATTGTGGTATTAAGTGCAAATAAAAACATTTGTTAATAAATACAATAACGGTTTGGTATTCGGTATGATGAAAACGTTGCATCCTTGAAAAGGAGTTAAAAGACAACTGAAGGCAAAAGAAAATAACATGATAAAGTCAAAACGTCTTACCTTTTCTCCTAAAAAGCCAGTACCACAGGCCACATCTAAAATTCTCACAGACTTCCTGTCCCCCAAGGTAAGTGGAAATTCCTCTGCCACTGCCTTGCATGCGTAATATGGACCTAGATATCTGTCTTGGCTCAGATCCTACATCAAAGCAATTTCATCCCTTACTCAACAAATAGATTACATGAAAAAATATTCTTTATTTTTTCGCACTGAAGCATAAGGTTTTACTGGGAAAATTTAAGTGATATCATTGAGTGAAAAAAGCAACTTTTGATATTTTCACTCACTTGTTTACAAATCAAAGCACAGTCTCTGCAGTAAATATGTCTTCAAATCACTGTAGTGTAAAATCTTTGCAGGCAAGTAAGTAGATATTCTGTCTGATTTATCTATTACAGATATGTACATTTTTTTGCTTAGAATTCTTGTAGAATACCTTATGGAGAATTTTTAATTTGGCATCATCTTCATGTTTGTTGGCGTGACAGGACATTTCATAATAAGGGCAGTGAAATTTGAGTAAAATATCTTTCTTAAATACAGATTATAAGGTACAGCTAATTGTAGAAATCGAATTGATCTACAGCATGATATAAGAATCAGATCCTTAGGAAAGTTTTAAAATATCTTATTTGTTAATTCATTCATTTTTCGTTGGTAGAACATATAGATAAATTAACTGTAGTCTGAAGTCATATAGATTTTTCCCAGAGAGCACTGCAACACCGTCAGGAACGACGTCAATCATATGTTGTATAGAAACTTTTTGAATTTGAGTTCAGTCAATGTGTTGTATGAAGACTTGGCGTCTCTGGGTGTTTTAAGATCAGCAATGACGTGTGAGAAACTATATAAGAAATAGATTTTATATCCTGAGATTTGTTTAGAAAATGAAAGAGTATACTCTTTGTTTCTTGGTTAATAATAGATATCGGTTATATTTCATCAGGTTTGGGTGGAAACGTTCGTACGAGCAAAATATCGAAGTTTCAACACTCTTGATGAAAGATAACTCCAGTGTTGTACTCATCAAGAAACAGAAATTATCATATGTTATTTTCAAAACGTGACTGAAGATACGAAGTCCAATAAAGACATAACTTCATTTTTCGTTATTTATTAAGGTTTCAAAACAATTACTGCAATAAAAAATATTGTAAAAACAACTAAGGTAAATAAATTATAATAGCGAATAACAGTATTGACCGTTTGATTTGTAGATGTGAACATTTTGTTTGTGTAATAAAAGGAGAAAACGAAACATATATGTTGACCCTCCGAAAAATTTAATTACCTCAGTCTGAGAAATGGCTTTCACACAAATTGTTTAAAGACGAGCTGCAACCGACGGATCACAGACTACAGACAATCATTCCTCTATACGTGCACCTTTTACTTTTAAAATTAGAATAGTTGCCCATCCATTCAACATTATAGTAAAGATTTGAATAAATTTAGATTATGTTCCTCAATCTGGAAATCGACATATAATATACAGAGTAAGTATGCTTGAAAGAGTATACAATGTACATATACAGAGTAGGTATGCTTGAAAGAGTATACAATGTACATATACAGAGTAAGTATGCTTGAAAGAGTATACAATGTACATATACAAAGTAAGTATGCTTGAAAAAGTATACAATGTACATATACCGAGTAAGTATGCTTGAAAGAGTATACAATGTATGAGGTATTTTCTGATTCGAGTAGCAAATGATTGTGAAATGTAATAACAGAAGTAAGACATGAACAAGGATAGAGAGAGAAACTGCAGGCTTAAGATGTGATAGACATATATATAGTTGTACATGTATGTTATAAACAGTAATTGTTTGTATCTATAAAATATTTATTGTTATTTGTGTTTCTATTTCTTCTTCATTTTCAAGTCCCGGAGTTGAGGTATAATAGGAGTACTCTGGTCTAAACATCTGATACTAAAATTACCACGTAGAACTGATTTGGACTTCATACAGACATTTCAGCGTAAATGTATGACATACACGTGTAAACTGTAGTTATCTGCTAAATTGACAACACAAAAAATAACATTTCCGATCGCTGAGTATAAAAACGTATAGTTCCAATACACCTGAATAAAACATATAAACGCACATATCCACAAATATAGAATGATGAAATGATAATCAGACATTTACTTACGTGTTCATAATCTGCTGCCCATTTAGAATAGTATTCAGCGACTTCTTCCATACTCATTCCAGGCTTATGTGCGCCAAAGTTGGCGCAGTAAGCTTGACTGTCTGTCGCATTGCTAGATTGTATAAACTGTTTCGCCTTTTCTTCTGCCATTCTGAAAACAGTATATACCTATACATAGCTTTATCTAATTTAACGAGGTGGTATAATATAATGATGTATAAAGCAATTAAAATGCATTTCCTTGAACGGTTTCATTATGTATATGTTTCGCTGGAAGGTCGAAAGTCCGTAAAAAGTGGACATAAACCACGTTAAATAAATAAATAAATCAATCAATCAAATAAACAGTTTCAATTATCTATGTGTTTATACAGCACATCGATTCACTGACTATGAAATACTTGCCAGCAAATATTCTGGTTGATGGTAAACACTTGGTTTAGCCATATCACGACGAAAGAGTGTAAGGTGAACAAAAAAATGTAATCATTCGATCAAACATGTAAACAAATATCTTCTCGAAATTTACAAATACATGTTTTCACACGATGTCACGCATAGCCATCATGGCTCTTTATTTATGTACATTAAGCGTTTTTATAAGATCTACGCATTTGTCATTGTTGATGGGTTGAGCCAACAAAAAAAAAACATGACTAGTGACAAAGTTTGATCAAATTAGATCAAAATTAGTACATCTATCGGAAATACTTAAAAATACTCTAATAAATTTCAAACTTTTAAAAAGTTATACTTTATATCTGTTAATGCTACAGATTTATGGTACGAATTCCTCACCAACTGTCCATATATGTGTATTATGGTGAAAAGGATTGTAACTTCCGAGAAGAAAATTCCGAACATATGTTCTTAAATTTTGTTTTTTTAATATATATATTCTAGGTGCTTCAAATCTTTGTAACACATACAATACCTTGAGGGGAAACGTTTCATCTTTCCAACGAGTGTTTAAAGAACAAGATTGACCTAGTGTTTTTTTTTTTTTTTTTTTTGTTTTGTTTTTGGCTGGGCAGAAATTTCCCTGTCCAGTTAAAACATGCCATATCATGAAAAAATAAAATGTGAAAGAATGTGTCCTTATAGTTTCATTAGGTGTTTGTTTACATCACTGCATACTACTGTGCTACTCGCATTTTAAGGGAAGTCATCCGTGAATTGGCTTTCGTACTGAATTTCGCATAAACAATATTGTGTTTATCTATGTGTTTTTTCAAGAGATCACAACTTGACGATTTGCCCTAACTATACTGTAAAAGTTCTATTGATCAAGACCTGATTTCTGCATTTTAGATTTAATTTTGGTTTTATGACTGGGACAACTGCATCGTGATTATGTAACCAGAGACCTAGGAGGCCATTGGCCTCTTGTTAGGTACATTATATATAGGTAGTGCTTTTTTGTGCACCGGAGGCGCAATCTTGCATCTGATTTGACTGAAGTAGGTTCAGTTGCCTTAAAAAGGGCATGTAAAGCCGGAGAAACCGCCTTGTTTTAGTACATGCATTTGGTTATAACTTATTGGAATTATCTATCCACATTCACGATGTGAAGTTTTTTTTTTTTTTTTTTTCATTTCATTGTCGGCCAAATCCCTTTAGAACAAAGTTACACACTAAGGTGGCGTGAACACTGATAACATTTAGTGATTGTCAGTTCTTATATAACTGATATATCTTACTTGGAGGTGACTCATCAAAGCAGCAAACTACACAATGAGATATATTTTTTAGATCTATGTCGGTCTCTCTATCCCCTGATTATGTAACCCTAGCCTGAAAATATTGTGTTTTTACTGTCTATCTTTTTAAGTTTTTTAACGGTTTAAGTCCCTACAGAGTAGGACACGCTTAAAAATTGTAAAATTACACGAGACTTACCTGTAAGTTGAAATTTGATGAAAACTTCCTCTTCACTTTAGATGCTAGTCAGGATCACATGAGATGCGTGCGCATATGATCACACCTTCTTTAAAACTTTTGAGTGGACTCTTAATCCCAGTTGCACATATGTGTATATATGTAAGCATGCATTATCCTTAAAACCCTCATGCAAAGGATGGTGACATATGTTGGGCGAGCATGTGATCTTGATTCTGTCTTCACTACAGATAAGTACTCCGGGATTCCGTGAGAGGTTTAAGACATAACAACAATATCACTAAATAAATGAAGAATTGTATTGAAGTAAAATGGTCAACAAATAATTTGCAGATGTATAGAAAACATCAGTTCTTTAACTGTCTTATCCATGTCAAAATCCTTAAGCCGAGTTTTAGGTAAGTTACAATAAAAAAGGAAAATTGTGAGAAAAGAAATTCAACCATATCCATTCAACTCTATTCGCCACACACTTCATCATCCTAAAAAATACACTATATAGAATTGTACATCTAGTGTATTATCTCAGTCACTAGTTCCGGGGAGATAACCTCCGAAAATCCATCACACGCGTCAACATCTGAAATTCATACTATGCTTTACGTAGTGCAGTAACCATCTTCATAGAAATGATAGTCTATGGTAAGTAATTCAGGGGAGATAACCAAATACAATACCATCAATTTATCTGATGTCAGCCAGCATCATTCCTCAAAACTAAAGGTCTAGGGTAAAACTTGGCAAATGTTGAGTCACTGCTCCAACCAGCTGTATGAAGAATAGTTTTCAATGGTACATGAAAACCATGCCACCGAGGTTGAGAATGCTTTAGTACTATATGGGGTACGAATTGTCATATCAATACCCTTTTTGACTAACACCTCTTTATTCCATCTCGAGATTATAGCTTTTTGAAATTGGAGATTAGGGTCTCTGGTAACTCAGAAAAAGTTTTTGTCCTGCATTTGAAACTTTAACTTAGATTCTAAAGCTTCTGTGTCCAATGTTACATCGGTTTTCTTTTGTTTGTTTATTTTGTTTATTGTTGATTTTTTTAAGGCTGGTCTATTTTTATAAAACTAGAAAAGGCTGACCTTGCCTTGTTTTGTCAAAAAAATAATTACATTTCCCACAGTGGGTGACAGCATAGATTTTTGGTCTTCACTGCAATATTGAAACCACTGAGATGTGTAAGTTTGGTACCGACGCACTGTTCCTTGTCGCCATGGTGACAGGAGAATGTGTCCAGCGTACGTTGAAAAAACCCAGGTCTTTGATTGATTGCCTGAAAGTCGACATGACCTTCCTCAGATACCCGATAAGCAGAATTTTGATATGATACTAACTTAATTTCGTTGGAATGCAAGAAAAAATAAGGCCAAATCATGCTCAAAACTCACTGGCTGTGGATGATGATTGTTGGAGGCTGTACAGGGAATCGGTCTATTTTCTTTCCTGTCCCTTTTTAAAGTTTTTTGTCCATGTCTACTTTAGCCGTCTGAGTATGAAACGGTAATTGATTGTAACCACCGTGGCCATGGTGATGATAGTCTCTATTTCCCTGTTACGGGTGGATTTCCCTCCGTACGAAAATAAAAAATGATGTTTATTAGCGTTAACGTACGCTCCCGAGCTAACTCGAACGACTACCCGATTAGTATCACTTTCATGGCCTTCGGGAGATCGTCACATGATAAGTGTGTTGTAACGGGTTGTATGTTCAAATCTGGCCTAATTAATTCTAGCCGGTGTTGGCTGATCTCCTGTGAGGCACTACCTATCAGTGTGAAGCTGTTGATCGCTAATTTTTATCATTTCATCCAAATTTGTTCTGAAGTTCACTGTTTCGTCTTTCCGTCTGTCAACATTTGAATAAGACGAGAGAGTGGAGTAAGGCCTTTGGTGATTCTTGTTTGTGCCTTCTGGACACGTATATCCCTACTTTTCGTTTCGGACTAAAGATTGCGCAATATCTCAGGATTTACACGAGGTGCTTACAAGTTCTCAATATTTTCTGGTCTAGGATAGGCATCCAACTTTATATCTGGAGTATTTCTCGGGCATTTTTGGTCCAATGTTTTCTTCGTGACTAAAATCCTGAACCAGCTCCATCATACACTGTGGCAGTTCAACGTCTTCATCCATAGCTTTATGTCCCGTTTAAGATACATTTGTAGTATTATCATCTTCGTCCTTTTGGTCATCTGACGATTTGAAAAATTCCTCAATCTGCTCACATATGCCCATTTACTCATCATCGTCAGGTACTCATGATCTATAGCGTCGTGTCGGTCATACCGTTCAGCAGAACGTACGTCATGTAACATTTGTAATTGTGCATCCATGATGGATTTTTAATCGTTCATTATTTCCTGCATACCTGCTTGTTAGCAGCACTTGTGCTCGCCACTGCTTGGACCTGTGTAGCGGTCGTAGGGGTAACGTTAGCCATTTTGGGTTGGTGATGCTGTCCCTCACTCATTGCGCTCGTTGGTTTTGGCGACGGCTTGTCATTAGACATTTTTGTCGACACTGTCGAGTTTTTGACACACAATTCTGGGCTCAATGTTGTGCAGAGCTTCGCTAACATAGTCAAACTCAACAACGATCTTGCCGTGATTTTTTTCCCTCTTATCCAAAACGGCGGCCAATCACGCGCGCGTAATTGTCCGTGGTCAGTCTGACCCCTCGGGGTATAGCACTGAAAGTACGGGAGTTGGGCTTATTCAAGTCACCAAAACTTCACCAAATTGTGTCCAGCAATCTGTTTATCAAAGATAATCACTACTGAGTGGACATTAGAGTGTTATTTAGCGATAAAACCAGAACAGGTCGGGTAAAATTGATTACATCCGACTCCTTCTGGTGTCGATCACGCTATGACTGGTGATGTGCGCACGCATCTCACGGGATTCCGGAGAACCTATCTGTAGTGAAGACAGACCCTGTAATCAATAGCTCAAACCAGAGTCAAAGCCAAACATGTAAACAAGTATATTCCCTAATTCTACATATAAATGTATTTATCACACGGTATCACTTCACATCCATCACAGCTTTTCATTAATGCACTTCAAAATTTGTGTTCGATCTTTTTAGTTGTCTGTATCAGTACCGCCCCTAGAGATGTACATTTAACTTTGTATTATATCTATCTAGTTGTCTGTATCAGTACCGCCCCTAGAGATGTACATTTAACTTTGTATTATATCTATCTAGTTGTCTGTATCAGTACCGCCCCTAGAGATGTA